ACACCAGTCCTTTTCCCATCTAAAAATAAACCAAAGCCAGACAACCTCTACCCTCTACCTGTACCCCTCTATCCACCCCATTAAACCCAATAACCCCCCATTTAGGGTTTACAATACGATTTAGGACCACATGCAGAGCTATTTATGACACGTTTCCGTCAATATGCTCACAATTTGCGAGTCTCGCGTCGCCTGACAACATTGACACTTTGGTGCAATCACTCGTGAAAATCATACTCAGAGGAGAGTGAGAGCCAGAAGGTCCGTAGCCGTTGAAGCACTTGAGACTTCAAAGGAAATGCCTATCGCTGTCAGGGACATAAATTTCGCTGACGGGCGAAAAATGTGGAAAAGCCACCAGACATTTGTGCATTTCACAGTGGACGATCCGCGGAGTCCTTCAGTGCTGTACAGTCCCCCATTCTTCCATGCCACCTCCTGCCCCCTTTTGAAGTATTCCTTCACATTGGCGTTGAAATGTATGCAGCAATATATTTATGCATATAACGCCGAGACATCAATAAAATAAATAACAATAATTTTGCAAAATACCCATAAATCCAACGAGCGTTGTCATAACTTTCGTTTTTATGACTCCTAACTAGACAGAGTGACGCGGAAAGCAGAGTAAGTATTGGAGTCCAATCCCAACCACCCAGTCCACCTGCATGTGCCACAGTCGTGAATTGCGAGTACGCCCGGTTAGAGGTGTCACTAGCTAGGAAGCAAATTCAAGCTAGATTTTAACATAGACTAAAGTTGAGAGAAGTGCGAGTCAATGTTTGGAGACTAGTCTATGTTTAAATCTAGCTTGAATAGGAAGTTTTATAAACATAAAATGCACTTTGGTGACTCCCAAATCAGGACAAACGGCGAGCCCGAAAAAACATATAAGCATGTTTTATCTAAACTGAACACAGGAAAGACAAGTTATAATTTAACTGTAAGAAAGATTTCCACGTATTATCTATCTCTCCATATACTACTAATTTTTTTTTTCCTTTTTTCGGGGTACCATTCAGAATATTTTCAGCTAAATCTTCTCCCAAAAGAGGAGTACGCGTCACAACTTTTATACTCGAAACTCAGTACTACATCTGCACCTTACTGTTTATTTGTCAAATTGTACATTTTTTGTTCATCTGTCAATTCAATATGAAAATTTATTTAAAAAATTAAGCTACGAATATTTAATTCAAATATATATTTTTCCATTAATCAGGACTCTCTTCCCTATTTAAAAATTAAAGAATTATAATTCTAATAACAAGTTTTTATACCCGATACTCGAAGAGTAAATAGGGTATATTGTATTTGTGCACACAGTGAATGTATGTAACGCACGGAAGGAAACAGTTCCGACCACATAAAGTATATATATTCTTAATCAGCATCAATAGCCGAGTCGATTGAGCCATGTCTGTCTGTCCGTGCGTCTGTCCGTCCGTCCGTCCGTCTTGTTGAGCAGCTGGTTGATCAGAGACCATACAATCCGATTGGATCATTATTATAACCAGTATGAAGAAATTAATTTGCAGTGGCTAAACCCATCCTGTTCCGCAGCTTTTGTTGTTTTTTCCTCATTTCTCTCATTTACACTCTGCTTCGGCAGTCTGCAGTGTGTTGGTCTAGGAAAGGGTGGCGAGCTAGAGGAGCGTGTTGGTGTGACAAGTGTTGTTGATGTAGATGACAGATGAAACAATGTAAAATTTCACAAAACACCGCTAAGGTACAGATGTAGTACTGAGTGCCGGGTATATAACTTGTGACGCGTAAGAAGCGTCTCACACGTCGCTTCTCGTTTTTTATGAATACCCCAAAAATAGGGTCAGTTTTAGCGATCACTCGAATAGACTCGAATAAAATATTAGGCAAAATATTTAAAAAACTGTTTAAATGCATATTTTCATTTATGATTATGATTTGAAGCTTAACTTATAATGTTTGTGGACAACTTCTTTGGAATTGCTTGGTAAATTCCCCAAGGATATTAAAATAAAGAGGATTTCAAAGAGTTCAATCGAAGTTCACTGCAGGCCTGTTTGATGCAATTATGTAATGGTTTAACATTTTCAAATTGTTGACGAGACTCATATCCTTTACGTTAAACTCTGATCTGGAGAGAATATAAGCTTCAAAATTAGGTGAAAATTTAAGTCTCAAGTCCACTTCATTATCAATATACAATTATATTTCGAGCGATTATCCGACATAAATTCTTCTACTCTATTCCAATTATCGGGATTGAATGTAACCGTATTGTGATTCTTCTACAGCTACATGACTTCCACACCAACTTGCCCTTTTGGATCGCCACCCTCCACCAGAGCCGCACACTGAATGAGGCACTTATAACAGTGTGAGCATATAGATAACTGGATGCAAAACTTGGTTGCCCTATCTCGTACGGTCTCTGAGTACTAGGCGCTCATAAGGATGGACAGTCGGACGGACGGACAGACGGACAGACAGATATAGCCTCGGCTATTGATGCTGATCAAGAATATATATCCTTTGTGGGGTTGGAAACGTTTCCTTCTGTTCGTTACATACATTATGCATAGATCATACTCACCCTATTTGCTCTTCAAGTACCGGGTATAAAAAGAGCTAAAACTTCCTCAGCACTGGCAATGGGCGGTACACGTAAACCAGGGGGACACGTCAGTCAGCAATAAATAAATGCAAGCTGGCAGTCATTTGGTCGTCACACGGGCCAGCAGACAGGCGATGGTGGGGGGTAAAACGTGGCAGTAAATCTGGAAAGGTCCTGCAGGTTGTTATGCTGTGGCATGGGGAAAATTGCAGTTGAAATTATTGCATTTAAACAGGACATTATCACACAGACACAAAAACACAGAGCCACCCAGGGAAGGGTGATGCCTGGAATGGTTGCAAAAATTGCAGTATTTGCTTTTTCCCCTTCCCATTCGTTGTTGTCTCATGTCATTGTTGCAGCTTTTGTTTCTGTAGCTGGTGCGACTCATAAATTAAGTCCTCATAACGGGAAAGTTATTAAAGTAATACAATTTTACATCTGACATTTCGACAATCGATGCGTCGCCTTCGGTGCAGCACCCCATCACCTTTCCGACACATCCTGCGACTCTTTTTTCTGACTTTTTAGGGCATACAGAGCATATGAAGCAGAAATAATATTTGAAGTAATATTTGTATAAAAGGAAGGCTAGCTTATTATTAAAAAAATTACAAATATTGTCTTTTTTCCTGTTTCGTGCTTAATCTTGACTACTCTACTCTTGACTCTACTCTACTCTTGACAATGACATAGTATTCGCCAGAACAAAGAATAATGGCATCCCTGAAATAATAAAAGCGAGAAAAATCGTTTGGTAAAGTTCTTACAAATTATAGATATAATGGTATAAGCCAAATCATGGGCACATTTGTTTAAAACTCATTTTGGCTCTATGATTCTCCCTTTATTCTTCCTCTCATTCTTTCCTTTCCGTGCCGCTTGATGATGACGAAATCATGTCAATATCCTAAAAATATTCTTCGAAAATCGCTGTAAAACGATCGGAACACTCAAGGCGTAAATATTCCAAAGCCCGAAAATGCTAATGGCTCGCGAGGCCTCTGGCAATTCTGAGATTTAATTTTCGAGTTATTTGAAGGACTCCTTCAACCGGAGGATGATGATGATGATAGCCTCCACTGGCCATTAGCACGTGCACACGCTGTAGAGAACGATGGCAACTCGGCAGCAGCAGCAACATCTAAAGGGAAAACGCGCAACACAAATAATTTGCACAAATTACCGCCTAACGCTTTGCCGCCGTCGGTAAGGGTCGGTCTCACTCTCTTAACTTTTCCTCTATTTACGCAGGTAATGCAGGGGACAGACAGGTGCGAAACAACTAGGACCAGCTGCGGTTCTAAAGGACGAAACGTTTATCAGAGAGGTCTTCGTCTCCGTCTACTTTCGCCGTTTATGTGCAATGCCAGGCTCACGAGCTGCGCACATAATTTTCCCGAATGCTGCACGAGAAAGCAAACTTTGTGTCCTGTTCGGTGGAGGATTCGTTGGGAGTCAGGGCTGGGATTTGTGGCATAACTTTGGTTTTTTTATGTTGTAGGGATGTGACACATCAATGATAGGGGGAACTAGGTATATTTCTTTCTCTATTTTCCGTACTCAAGGCACTAATTCCTTAAGAACTAAAGATTTCCAGGGCATGACATGGGATAAATGTTTCATAAATACCAATATTACCAATATGATAAAAAAAACAAGAGACTTCACGATAAAAGAAAGTAATCAAATTTCACAGCACAGATGAGTCCTAGAGAGTCCTGGCGAGCGCCATGTTCATGAAGTATGAAACATTCATTTGACACCTGCGATGCCTGACACGTCAGAAGGCGTAAAACACTGCCCCGCCTCGAGTGGAGTCTTTCTCTCTGTAGACATGGGATGGATATTATTGTATATTGGTGTGCGTGATGTTGCAGCACGAACGATGGAAGGGAGCACACATCCTCGAGTGATGGAAGCGCGTCGAGCATATCAAGAGGCAAGAGTGGCACCAGAGGAGAAAACTGACGGCTGATGCAGGAGCAGCCAGCAGTCAGCCATCAGAATCACATCTTGAGAGGCACTCGGAATGGGAATGGGGATGAGGATGAGGAGCCTGCTACCGACAACATTTGGTCAGGCAATTCACACGTACCTCACATATATAGTGTTTTCTCTGAAGGACCTGGGTATGGGGCAGATCTTGGGCATAAGTGTGGCAATCCACATTCGAATCAAAGTAAAAACGAAGGCCAACAGAATGCTTAACTTAAACCCAAAGGAGGGGGTTTCCAATATGAATAGAAACTTTGTAATAAATGGATATGAAATATCCAGATTGGAATATCAAGGATTTTTAGAGGTTTCTCCAGAACAAAAAACTAAATTCAAATTAATCTGAGAGATAAATCTGAAAGAAAATTAGCTAAACATATTTCATATTTTCCAGATCATGGCTGGCTATGGATGTCTGTGTATACGAGGGGCTCGTTTATGGATGAGAACATCCAACATTTCCCGGAGCTGTAGTGACTCCTCCAGTGATAAAAACATCACCCACAAGAAATTTACAGAGGAAAATTCGCTATGGAAACTGAAATACACAGGCAGTTCCAATGCCAGTTCCAATCTATATAACTTCAGGAGGATCAGGAAAATCTCAGTCTGCAGTCTGGTCGTTGGAGGCTTCTGCAGTGTCGTGCTCTGGGCCATCTACGAGCTGGGAAAGCCAGAGGTGGATCAGCATGGTCTCTCCATAGAAGATGAGTTCAGTGGCTTGCCTTGGGCCCGGGAGTATCTGGAGCGGATGTGGCACTCGCTGCAGTATTATCAGAAAATGCTGGAGAAGCCTCTGCCAGAGAAGCTGCTGCCAGACACAATGCCGCCGCCCTATATCCAACCACCGTATACCCTGGTCCTGGAGATCAAGGACATCCTGGTGCATCTAGATTGGACCTACCAGACGGGATGGCGCTTCAAGAAGCGCCCCGGCGTCGACTTCTTTCTGCGCAAGTGCAGTAAACACTTTGAGATCGTGGTCTACACCTCGGAGCAGGGCATGACCGCCTTTCCCCTGCTGGATGCCCTCGATCCCTATGGCTACATCTGCTATCGCGTGGTGCGCGGCGACACTGACCTGGTGGAGGGGCAGCACGTGAAGAACCTAAACAATCTCAACAGGAATCTGAGCCGCATTGTGGTCGTGGACTGGGATCGAAATGCCGCGCCCCAACATCCAAACAATACCTTTCTCATGACCCGCTGGCTGGGCAACGATGACGATGTGCAGCTCTTCGATCTGACGGCGTTCCTGGAACTCCTCGCCGAACACCATGTAAACGATGTGCGGGAGATCTTGAAATATTACAGCCGCTTTGATAATCCAATCGAGCAGTTCAGGGAAAATCAACGGAGACTTCTTGAGATTGAGGAGAAGACCAAACGAAAGGCCATGCAAATCCAACGAAACTGGACGGCCAGGCTGCTGGGACAATATGCCAGAGGTACCGAAAAATAGAAACTAGTCGATAATAATGAAATAAATCGTGTTATGAAATCTGAAATAATAAAATATATTGTGTTATTATCGATAATTATCTACTCGAAGAGTAAATATGATAAATTGTATTTGTAGTGGAAGGTGGATGTATGCAAAGCATAGATGGAAACATTTCCGACCAAAGTAAATATATTCTTGATCAGCAACAATAGCCGAGTCGATATAGTAGAGTTGGGTTGCTCATGAGTGAGTGGAAAAAAAAAGAGTTGTTTGCTTCAGTGAGTGTTAAGTAGTTTAATTATCATTTTGTATTAACACAGTTGTAAGAATATCTTTTTTTTTTGAGGTTTTAAGTTACCGCTCTACCCTTGGGTAGGGGAGAATTATTTGGCCACCCGCCTTTACAAGGGGGAAATCGCCACGTCGAAATATGTAACTTGTTACAGTTTTGCTCCAATACTTACCTGGCGTAGAGGTTATGTTCCCCACGTGTTGCAGTGTGCCCAGACACTTTTGCTGCTCCAATACTTACCTGGCGTAGAGTTTATGTTCCCCACGTGCTTTCAGTGTGACCGCCTAGTTATTATACCCGGTACTCGAAGAGTAAATAGGGTATATTGTATTTGTGGGGAATAACGGTTGTATGTAACGCACAGAAGGAAACGTTTCCGACCCCATAAAGTATATATATTCTTGATCAGCATCAATATACGAGTCGATAGAGCCATGTCTGTCTGTCCGTCTGTCCGTCTTGTTTGTCGGCTATTTCTCAGAGACTATAGAAGCTAGAGCCACCTAAATTTGCATCCAGATTGCGATATGCTCACACTGAAATCAGTGTATTTCAAAAATGAGCCAGGCCCCCTTTCGCCCCCGCAAAATGGCGAAAACCTCCCAAATCTACAATTTTGAAGATAAAAGAAAACTAAAAACGCCATTCCGTAGGAAATGGCCATATCTATCAGATAACCAAATTGGGATCCTCTTTTTACATTATCTTTTTACATTCTTCACACACTGCTTCTGCTTCATTCGGCCCCTGCCTCTGACCGCCCTCTACCGATGTCTCTTCCGACTTTTAACCCACCCCGTCACGCAGCTTATATCTGTTTTTTTTTTGTGTGCGGACGGCTCACCGCGGTGCCTCTGCCTCTGACTCGAGTCTGCAGTGTGTGGGTCTAGGCACTAACCAAATAATATAGTAGACTACAGCTGCCTATAAGCGAAACGTCACCGCATAATGTGCGTCGGGAAGTCCCAGGCCTCTGCCAACGTCGCAGCTACAAGTATTAGTGCGTGTAGAACACGCAGCTAGAAGTCCCAGCTACATTTGTATTAGTGCGTGTAGCCAATGATTTTTTAGCGCTCCAAACCGGTTCTAGCCTGATTCACACGAACACTGCAAGTAATGTATGTGTTGGTGCGCTGACTTTCTGAAGTGCGATGGGACGAAAATTCGTTTTGATGATTTGATTTTGTTTTCGGGGCTTGGCGTATGAAACTGACCTACCGCAGCATGTGCAGAATGAGGGGTGGGGATTGGTGGCCAGACCTTTGGGGGTTGGAGAAAATAAATATACCAATAAAAGTTGTTATTGTATTTTAATGCTGTAATTGTTTTAAATGCAATTTTATACTGCTTTATTCAAAATTGTATGCATATTATGGAAACGCCGTAGCTTCTCGACTTCGTTGCTGCCGTCTTATCAACATTGTTACCGAATCCATCTTTTACAGACAAATCTTTTCAGATAAATATAAAAACATATATATGTACATAAGCATATGTAAACACATATGTATATATATGTACATACATCTTTCCAATTTCTGTTCTCGTCGTCGGTTTTGTTCTCGACTTCATGTGCGCTTTAATTGTTAGCGCTTGAAACCTTTTGCATTTCTATTTTGTTCTGAGCTCACATACCCTTCAAAATGAAAACCCTCAAGACTTTATGAAGAAGCTTGCCCCTCTATATCAAAATAAATTTATTTTGTGTGATCTTTATATGCTTTATATAATTTAGGATGAAAGGGGTAACGGATATAAACATCTGAATATGTATACAAATAATGAATTACGGCATTTGACCTTGCGTTGCAAATATTTTCCATTAGAGTATTCAGAGTCACGGTGTAAACAAGCATGGAGTTTTGACGGAACGGGACATGGAGACATTATTGCTGACAAGGCGGCTGCCTTGTCCGTCTTGTGTTCACCGTGATGTGTACACCGTCATAATATGTATTTGTTCTTACTGTATATAGATGTACGGACGGGTGGTCGAAGGACGGAAAAGACGGGCGGACGAAGGGAGGACAGACAGACATGGCTTAATCGACTCGGCTATTGATGCTGATCAGTATATACATAAATATATATTCTTGATATATTACTATTACTACTATAATATATATTCATATATTTGTATATGCAGATTTTAGTGCCATGCTTGGGCATCAAATTTGAGTCAGTTGTCCAAATCTCGATTTGCCGATGGGAGTCGGAGGAAAATGAGCAAGTGTTAATGTGTGTGTACATGTGCAAGGCAGGTTCACTCGGCCCCTGCCTTTGCCGTCCCTCTGCCCATCTTCTGTCGACTTTTAACCCACCCCGTTCCACAGCTGCGATCGCTGCCTCTGTCTCTGCAGCGAGTCTGCAGTATGTGGGTCTAGGGAAGGGCGGCGAGCGTGTTGGCGTGAGAAGTGTTGTAGATGTAGATGACAGATGAAGAAAAAATTTATAATTTGACAAAACACCGCTGAGATGCAGATACACTATTGTCCCAATGACCAGTTTTGGTGGCTGTTTACGCCAAATTAGCGCAACGGGCTTATGGCCGGGAGCAATTAGTATTTTGTATAAGTAAAATGAATTTGTAGCATTAAGATATTGAATTGTTGCATTTACGAAATACTCACAGAAGTTTGTTGCCATAGAACATACATGTAATATGTGAATACGATAGAGAAAGAGGAAGAACATGCATTTAATAGGTGAATATCGAAATTGAAAAGAAGAAGAGATTCAATTGATTTGAATTCCGACTCGGCCGAACAGCAGAACTTGGCTTTTTATTTCGAGATTTTGATTCCAAACTGGTTGCGAGGAGTTGCGGAAACAGTGGCCAAAAGCTAATTTTTAAAAGTTAAAACCAAGACTCGGTTTTTAACGCTCTGTATTAGAAAAAGAGTGAACATCAAAGTTGCGTACAAGAAATTTTCATAGATGGCGCCACTTTCGAAAAATCTGCTGTGAAACCTAGCGGTCATTATTGCACGGAATGTGCAGGGAAAGAGTACCAATTTGATTGCTGTTTTAAATATCTCATAAATTGGAAAATATTAACTGATCCAATATTTTTGATGCATTTTATTTAGTAGGCTTTTACTACGTGTTCTGTAATGTGAACGATATCTAGTGGTTGGCGATGTCTTCTACACCTAGATGTAGTCCTGAGTGCCGGGTATAAAAGTTGTGACGCGTAAGAAGCGTCTCACACGTCCCTTCTCGTTTTTTATTTATTTTATTATAAAGACTTTAAAATCAATAATTTGTATGCAGCAAGCACAAGTTTGGATGATTAGTTTGGAGGCAGCTATTTCATCTTTTAAACCCAAAGTGATTGAAAATAATTTTGACTTCCAAACGGCAACTGAAAAGTCTGAAAGCAACGTGGGGGAGGAGGAAACTGGAATAAATGACTTGTAGGAGGAGTACGTCAACATGGTTCCAGTCTGCCCGTCCGCCTTGATGAGCGCCTGGATATCAGAGACTATAAAATCTACATCAAGCAAAATTTTGCATCGAGATTTCTGTGATAGCACACTGTTACAACGTTTTTCTAAATTTCGGCACGCCCAGTTCCGCCCTCGCAAAAGGTCGAAAAGCTGCTGTAGTCTCAGTTTTGAAGATAAGAGAAAACTAAAAATGCAATTCCGTAGGAAGTGACCATTTCTATCAGATCATCAGATCTATCAAATTATATCATTATTATAGCCAGAATGATTTATCGATGTATTTCACTGGAATTCTTAAAAAATAATCGAATATCTGAGTAATTGATTATTTAGAAAAACTTAAGGAAGGAACTACGTGAACCTCTAACACATTTCCCAAGATATAAAAACATTTTTACCGAGTAAATGTTCTAAATAACGTTTTTCTGAGAAATTTCCTTTGTGTAAACAATTGTTTGGAATAGCATTTCTGGCGTTACAGAAGACTTCTCTGGCTTCGATTTGGGACGAAAAGTTTTTGAAACAGTTATTGGCATCATCAATTGGAGAGTAAGTAAACAACATTAAAAATAATTGCAACTAAATCCAGGCGCTTGCGTCGCCGTCACATTTTCAGCAATGGAATGGCCTCTGAGAACGAGGCACAGGACTCACGAAGGAGAAGACGCCACACTCTGACACACACATAGGCAGGAGGCAATGCAACGAAGCAAAAGCTTTTCTCAAGTGCATAAATCTGTCGCTGGAACTTCTGCTCCTGCTCTCTACTGGCTGCTGGCTTTGGTTGGCTGTTTCTTTGGCCTTTTTCCGTTCCAAGTCATTTTATGATTATGGGAGAGAAAACTTGCATCCACAACGGGCATACACATGTACATATGTATAACTGAATGTTTGTGCGATTTGGGTGCGGAGTATAATGCAATAGTAAATTGTTTGTTCGCTTCGAAATCGGTTCGATGGCAATGCTATTTAAGCCACGTTGATGTCTTTTCTCTGAATTGAATGTCGTCCACCCCCAACAATCGCCACCGCGTTTCAACTGGAATTATTTCTAACCAAGCTTTCGTATCGAAAATTGTTATTATGTCACACAGTCATTGACTGTGATGTACGACTACATTTTGCACAAATCATAAATAATGGCAAGGTTCATAATAAATCTGAAATTTCCTGCAGCTGGCTGCAAATGATCTTCCCCATCGTTGGGCTGTCCGTCTGACAAAATATGCTCCTCCATCAGAGGTGTCGGTCTGCTCCGTTCTTTGTTTCCTAAAGTGCGTGACCAGGGTATAGTTTGACAAGTT